ATATTGGAAAAGTCGGGGAAGCAGCGCTCAAAGCATTACTAGTTTTTTCGATGTAAAGTGCACCTGGAGATTCCGTAGGACTACTTAGTCGTTCTGACGAGATAGTGACACCGCGTGTAACAGATGGAAATGAAATGCTGATCACTTGTTGTACAAATTCTGGGCCTAACATGTATTGACAGTCTGACGGTTTGTCAGCCCAACCCATCGCTACGCACCACTACACTCCGCACTGATGAGGTCACCTCGATTGATGATTAAACGTTTGCAATCAAATTGGCCAGCTCAGCGAACAAACCAACGACCAAGTAACTTTTAAGGATGAGGAAACACCTTTGAGGACCAGACTTTGTCGAACATAGACGACTGGCAGGAATCGCTTCATGAGTGGCTGATTTCAAGAGAAGCTCAGTGTACAGTTATTCTCAAAAGATACCGTCTTATGCTGGATGAATTCGCTATCGAGATTACCGGACTTCGTCATACTGCAGATGAGCAGGCTTCTATTAAACGGAGAGGATCCTCCAGATCAAGCAGGCCTTTCGTTTGAAAAGCCGCCTTTTGGGGATCCAGTCAACAGGTGACCGCGTGATGTGAAGTCCGTAAATGAAGGGTGGGCGATACCATATTCTAAGCGCGGGTTAATTACACTAGTAACCAGCCACTGGTGCCCTGACAGAACTAGTGACCAGAAGCTCGACCGTTCGAATCTCTACGTACACTGATGATTTCAACACAGTTCGACTTCACTTGAGTACTGAACTCTCCTGTATAATGTGATTTTAAGCGTGATTCTCTGTCTCGTCACTAGCATGTGGTGGGAATATTTCGTCTAATTAGTCGTGGTTCCACTGAGATGGGCGGATATTCACCAAAACCTGAGTTTGATATCAGTGTTCAACACTGATGCTTCACTGCCATACAACCATGATTTATTTGAAAGCCCTATTGTGAAGAAAAGAACAGAGATGGACGGGGAATAGACTTAGTGCAAGCTTACTACAATCATTCCGAGGTGAGTACACCTCCATACACCTATTCAGGCAATCTGGATAGAAACCGACAACAAGAACGCCACTGACATCGGTTGGCAGCCATATCTTGTATCGTCCCCAACCAGGCACAGTGAGGACCACGCCACGCGGTCCCTGGAAGGTGAAACACGTTTGCCTTTCTCCCCCATTCTTTTACTGTTCAGAACACGGTTACTTCAAAACATAATTGAGGCGAGAGCAGAACTATCCCCTGAATGATAGAAGGAATCTGACAACCCACGTCCCTTTGTCACCTACACTGTTTCCAGGTACTGATCATGATGGCGCATGAGCCAGTTTACGGTCGGGGGAAGATACAAGGCCTATAACTGTTCTCTAAAGTGTGATGGTTTGCGATCAACAAACGTACTTGTTCTGAGGAAGTGCAGAATTCGGCAGGAGGTCAACATCAAACTAAACTTGTGTCCTGTGTCTAATCATCGAGAAAATCATCAGCAACAGCAGACACAACATCACTGCTGGAGCAGCTGCTTTGCTGTGTATAACCAAAAAGTTTATCTCATTATATCTAATTATATTTATACGTGTTTATATATTTTATATATCCGATTATGTTTAAAGCCTTGGTGTGAAAAGAAGGGGCAAAGAGGGAGCCGAAGGAGGGGTCCCGTCGCTGGCCCATCGCAAGCATTCTGAGTTGTCCATACTTCCAAGCGATCAATAGACAATCTGAAAAGAAACAGACAGTACCACTGACATCAACTGGCTGTCTCTTCCAATGCAATCTCCAGAGGGTCACGGGGATCCTATCGTGGAAGCCGGACCGCATCAACAACACCTAAGATCTTCCCACACTCTTTTACACCATTCTGCCAAATCAGTTCTTGTCCACCTCGTGGTTTTTGGCCATTCTGAAAGAAGCAACGAGAGTGGCTTATCAACAAATACCGAAGCCATTAACACAAACATGTTCAGTTGGGTGATTTATGAGAACGATCCGCCTGATCACATTCTGAGCAGCCAAAATTCCCCTGAGGATGAGAATCACCGGTTCAAAAGTGCCCAGTTCTCTTCAGATTTAACACTACGTTGTACTCAATTAGTTACAATACTCAGGAGTTGCGCCGAGCTTGATACGTTACGCTAAATGACCGAATAGACTGCCTCGACCCAATCAGAATGTTAAAAAAAGGCGATTAAACCGGTCGTGGGTTATCGGAGAGTTTTCAGCAACCTCATGTCTAGTATGCTGGGTTTACGCGATCGGGCCCGATGTCCAGACCAAACTAAATCCAGAAACCTGGCTCATCCGCGCTTGGAAGGCAACCTAAGTGAATTAGTGAGCAAACGATTTACATGCAAGCCGGGTGAATTTTGTTCAAACCATCTTAGAAGAAATTTACTCGATATATTCGCGAAGTGCATTCATTCGCCCACCAATCTGGTGGTCCAAATGAAAACCAGCTGAATCCCTCGTCGCTTGAACAACTGTGCGTGGTAGATTTTTTGCGATTTGCTAACAAGCGGAACACAAGGTTAATGAAAACTCGAAGACTGCTCTTACCTGAGATGCACCAAGAAGGGCGAAGCCGATCGTCGACTGTTGCAGAATTTTCGGCAGCCTTCTGATCGATTTCCGCCAAGATAATTGATATATGTTTTTTAACATTTCATAATACTTGCTCTAATATGGTTGCTAGGGCACATCGGAAAATTTCTAATCCACACCTGTTTAATTAGCCACAGGCTGAGGAAAATTATTGGCAATGCATCTATTTTCCGCTGATATCTGTTGTTACGTTCCCATATGCAGCTAAACTGGTTAGAATGCGAACATTCAAGATCGATTTTGCTTCTGATTTCGTAATGAATCATCAGAATTTGTAAAATAATACGGATTTTCATATTTGGTTTGCAACTGTGTTTGAATTCTCCAGTTATCCGGCGTACGACTACCGAGGTCTATGATTGGTTAACACGCGCTCAACCTCGCGACACGTGACTTGACTGCCTGCGAGTGATTCTGTTTACGCGAACTATTTTGTGATCTGGCTATCGTTTACTTGAACAGCGTTCTTCTCATAAGCGATGAACTGATTGATTGACTCATCTGTAGGGAATTGTTTTCACCTAATGAGGCTTTATTGACGTATTGTGATTGCAACTTCGTTTAGGTGCCTGAAAGCAAGAATACCACAAAGGCTATCATAGTCACGAGGTTCAACTGGAATTTAGCTAAATCACCCAATGGAACCGAATTAGTGAGCAAAAACGTAAGTATTTCTTGTGGAACATTAAGCTTACAAACGTCTGGTAAGTAACTTAGCTCCAATACAAAGATTGACCACTTACTAGCTGCAGATGAATGAGACAGCATTTGCTTGGAAAAATTGTGGAAAACAAATATATCGGTCCTCACCAAACTAAAGAAATTTCAGAAGAGAAACCCTCACAAAGGATCAATTTCTTCTCATTCTCCAGCTCGGAGCGTAGACAATTTTTTCAGTCCGTTTTAGCATTCTATCACTCAAAAGACCAAGGACCACACAGTCCCATTTTTCTGATGTGTAATTGGGCGTTTTACCATTTCCAGTGTTTATTTGAGACCATTATTGGGAAGCGAAATTTAATGGCTATCACTGCCATCAGGTATGCTGGATTCGCCGGTGCGTCCAAACTAATGAAATGTGGACGGGGAGATAGATTGTTCCTGCATATTGTGGATGGATGTTGTGTCTTGTGGCTTCGTGTAGGAATTACGGCTTGGGGCAGGGGACCCTAAGGTCAAGTCTCAAGGCCAGCTGGAACTCAACCAATCAACGGACCGGTTGGCCATCAAGCCAGTAAAAACCACGCACTGCAACTACCAATGATAAGCCACGGGTGACCCTGCTCGCCAATACTTGTGAGTATCTCAGAAACATTTTTACCCACACTGCGACACCAGAAGGAGATGCGAATCTAGATTTCAAGAACTTGACAGATTTTGGGTGGAATCGACGGAAAACTGACGCCTTTGCCCTACCTATCTACTTAGAGTGCAACCCAGAGTCAGAGAGGCCTGAGCGTTCGAACAGCTTTCGCACTGCGAGACGTCGAGCCCCATCCGCATATGACGTAATGATTCCGGAGAGGGCGAGATTTCTCAGTGGTAGAGCGCGAATTTACCGGAAAGTTCGAACCCGACCTCTACCTCTCAAATTCCCCAGTCTAGGCTTGGGCAACCTGGCAGTATCCCAGTCCTCGTATTTCCAAGTAATTAAAGCGTGAGCGTTTACCGGGTACCTTATTTTGCTCAAATTGTGCTTGCAACGCGCCATGGACTTCCAAGCAATCTTTCGTATTACTGATTGGTGCGGATTCTCCAGTCAGATTGAGCCGAAACGTACGTCTTACGTGGTACATGATCAGCTTTTCATCGCTCAGCTGAAACTGGCCGAATTCACTGCAGAGGAACTGACCCAGTCATTATCATGAATCATTCGCGTGAAGGGTGTGCTTTATCAAACTTCATAGATTTTGTTATAATTACTGTTTCTCGTGCATGTGTGACAGAATTTCACAAAATCGGTTTTATGAGAGGGGTGATTTTTTCACCAGTAGTATTTGATCAACGGTTTCCGATGGAGGCCCGTCATTCTCCTAAACGCGATACAGCCAAAACCACCTTTTTGAGCAGTCAGGTCGTTCTCTTTTCTCTGAGATTCAGCTATCTTGCACTCAACGTTGGGGCCACGCTTGCGGGCAGCAAGCTATCCAAAACCGATAGATATACCTAAAAATTTCTTTAGACATAGTCTGAAGAAGATTAAAAAAAAGTAAGCAAACTTCCCAGCACCGAGGGCATAGCTCAACTGGCAGCAAGATTCCTCCTACAACCAGATGGAATCCTAGTGGCACACAGACCAAGTGTAATTTTGAGGGGATTGATTTTCACACCGAAGGATAACCGCGAGCGAAGCAATAAAAGCGCAGTGAATACAGCAGGCGACCCGCTGAACATACCAGATCAACAAGCATGTGGCTACCGTAAAAATGCACGTCCCTCGTTTCCACACGTTTCAACTCTACTATGCAGCAAATGTCACACTGAATGAAACAAAAAAGTACACCTCAAAAGTCCTTTACCCCCCGACCAATCAGAACAGTGGTTGATGACCCAACCAATAGGTTGCCTAATCAAACTATCAGTCAAAATTGAGGGTGAACCTCATCTGAAAAGAAACATATGAACCCACGAACACTGGTCTGTGTTCTGGCAACCTCGGCGAGCTACTCGACCACCGGTGAACCCACGAACACAGACCAGTGCATACTCTCAGACGCACCACTGTGTTCTTCAACACAACAAAGTAATATTGGTATCACCTGCCAAAGGGTTGGCAACCTCGGCGAGCTACTCGACCACCGTGGGCCATTCTTCCGTTAAGTTAGCCTCCTCTCAGCACAAACCAATCATAGGTTGTTTACTGCATGCTATCTCCTGAAAGATAGGTTTCTGGTCGACTAGTCCAGAAAAGACTCTCCAGTAAAGGATGACAAACAGGTATATCCCCTGAAAGGTTAACATTGTGACCAATATGGCTTACAGACAAACGGTATATAACCATTTCCAAAATGTTAATGTTGATATATAGTCAGTGTATTTAAAAGTTTAAGGGATAGATACCGTTTTGAAAATAAATCAGAGTAGTGTACCATTGATTCGTCCATTTTGAGCCTCATTAAAATCCCAAAAATCTCTAAGGTGACTACAAAGAGCAAGGTTTCGGATAAAAGCTCTGATAGAGAGGCGCTTCGTTACGGACAGATCGTTGGCATTCAGACAGACGCCGATTCAAATCACCTAGCATCGGAAATCACTCTCGAACCATTTTATTGGCTACTGAACTATTTCGTGTTAGCCAAGGAAACGTTTGATAGAAAAGTACTCAAAAGTTTGCCAAAAGTCTTCGACAACCCATCTTGAGGCTCTTCTTCACCCTCTGAGTTTCCATCAGTCTTATGTTTCGTAGTTTAAGGGTTTCCAAAATACATTATTTAATCAAGGACCACTTGTCTCTTTTCCGGGGCGCGTTGATTACAGTTTATGACGGACACGTTTGAGCAAATCAACTAACATTTGCGCATTTGACAGTTCCGGTCCATATATGAATTAGCAATCAGTTCCGACCTCGTTTTGCCAGCAAAATTCAGGCTTACGGCCAATTACTGTCGAAACTCTCAGTTTTAGCTTCTGCTAGAGCTGATGAGAGAAACGTAGACATGAGACTTTGGGGATCTTCACCTGCATTCATTCGTCAGTTTACATCGAGATTCGCACTAATCTAAGCAATATTACTTAAAACTCGGACCAGATCGTAATACAGTACTCATAAGGTTGCTGAAAATTCTTCCACACCCCACGACCGGTTTTGCCCTTGTTAAGGCTCACCAGTCAGCTCGATCGTACAGCGTCGCACTCACTCATTCAGTGTTGCAACCTAGACGTTTGATGCTGCTGCGCTTTGGTCTGCGTCATGACTTGAATGGAGGGAGAGGGATGACGCATCGGTGTACATTGTGGACAATATTTGAAGGACCACATCACAATGAGTAGTCTTCGCGCTTGACTAAGGCTGCTCCAGAATGCGTCACTGTATAACCGATAACAAATCCGATCATCTACATTGTGCTTTGTACCTACTTGGCTATTGAACTCACCTTGCTCAAAGTCTGCAATTACATGTCACCGTCACCAAACCCTGATCGAGTAATTCAGGTCAGTGCTTCCGTTAAGGTCAACTAGTAACAACGCTAATTCCAGTCCGGCGATAAAAATGACGATCAGACAAAAATGTGATCCAGAGGTTTCTTGACAGCGGCGGAAAAACGAAACGAAAAACGAAATAGGTGCTACTGAAAGGACGGTCTGCTTCGATTGAATGGGGCCAGTTCCTCAGCAGTGAATTCGGGGAGTTTCAGTTGAGTGACGAAAAGCTGCACACTTCTACTAAGACAACTCAGGCCTTTGTGTGATCAGCAGGCCAGGACTTGGAAAACAGTTTCATTTTTTCATTATACACAAATGATTTCGTGGCTGGAATTTGTAGCGTACCTATTCCAAACCAGATGGATTTAAACGTCTCATTTTTCTCGTTTCTGACATACATAAATCAATCCTAGCTGATGTTTTTACACTTAAATCATGGGTTTGCTTTAAAGGGTAATGAGATCAAAAATTCAAGAAAAAGTTGAATAAAAAACCTCCAAATGGGTTATGGGTCAACACCAAGATTGAAGTAACTAGCTCTTTTGAAGCGAATCGGGCAGAGTATCAAAGTGTTCCGCATTTCTTCAAAAGCGAAACTCTAAGGTTGTTCGGGAGTCGAAATCCTCGCAGAATGTGGCCCCGTTTGAACTAGACAAGCACATCCTTCTAGTCGTCCATGCTCCTTAACTGGGACACGTTTGTAAGGATTTACGCGATAAAGTTTTAGTCACATTATTACTCGTACTCTGACCAGCGCAGCCTTTCGTTCATGGGTTTAGGCCAACCATTTTGATAGACGCATCTATTCTTCCACCGATCCAAGCTTAGCTACTCCTGTAGTATCCTGGCTACAAAATTTCCTCAGAACAATCTCAGCTACCATTTTGTTCTGTAAATGAAGCGAATCGAGTGTAAAAATCAGAAAATCACTGTAGAGCTGTTTTATCCTCGTTTGAAATCATCAGCGGAGCGAAACTTACAAAATTATAGACAATTTCTAACCCTCCACACTTAACCATTCGGCCGCGAGCAGCCTATCAGTAGTGTGAGTAGCTTTCACTCAGGAAGCTTACAATGCCTTTCATCCCTCAACCACGAAATTCACATCACGCGTTACGTATTGACTGGCTTCTCGAGTGATGACTCCTCAGTTGGATGTTCCACTCAGTTTGTGAAGCTATTCTTCCTCTGATGCACTTATGGGCTGAAGATAGCGGGAGGAGATCTGATCTTCATTCGAGTTTTCTCCCCGTAAATAGAACCAGTCTATGTTGAAAGGCTGAAAGGCATTGAACAGCCACTTCATTCTTCTTTGGGAATCAATAGAACTAGGCATCTCACGAAACAATCTCATGTCAACCATGCCTACTGAGGTTTCAATCGCTATTTCGACCGTATGCTCACAAATATATTCGCTGCAAGTACAATATTCATGAGGTTTCTTCATCCGTGTGCGATTTGTCGAATTTCTATCCCAACCTTCACCCCCCCTGATTTTCGGTCAAGCCTCTCATTCATTCAAATGGGCTCTGCAGTGTCGCTCGGTTTTATCTATCCTGATGACTTCCGAAACAGGTTGAAAACCGCGGGATTCCATGAACAACCTCAATCGTCCACGGACTTTTGCAATGCACTTTTAGTGTGTTTCTTTTTTGAATTGCTCGTGAATTCGTGGGAATCTTGCTGTCTGAAGCTCTGGTTCAATTTCAGTCAACTTTTGTTGCCCCCTCCAAAAAAAAGGTTTCTAACTTTTGTGCAGACAAATAACACGACAAGCGGCCGTTTATTTGGGCAAAATACCTTGGAGAACAAAGTACAAAGTATGACTTGCTTTGCTGATGTCCTCCCCAGAATACAATGTGGATTAGCAACCGTTTGTTTGTGTCACTTTTGACTGAACACTAGAACGCATGGCAAAATGCTTGTTTTCAAAATTCGCTACTGAGTGTGAACCCACAAGTAATATTCAGTTAGCAGCACACCAGTTGAATGTCGTGTTGAGGATAGCACCAATTTGACTACTTAGATATACTACTTGAGACAATGGCATGGCAAATGATTGTTGTCAAAATTCGCTACTGAGTGTGAACCCACAAGTAGTATTCAGTTAGCAGCACACCAGTTGAATGTCGTGTTGAGGATAGCACCAATTTGACTACTTAGATATACTACTTGAGACAATGATGAACACAAAACACTAATCATTTCGTTCCGTATGGAACTACTCAGTTCTGAAGACCAAACTGAACCAAAATGAGTAGTCAACACGTGACCACGTGATGCGAATTCCAGGGCGATTGGCGCCATACGTCGTCTAATTGTGATTTATTCATGCTGCTGATAAGCCGTTTGTGGTTCACCGTTCAACTTCTAGCCGGTGTTCGCGGGTTTGCAACTTCCACAAGTTTAGTGATATGCATACTGCACCCCAACAAGGATGCTTTTCGGTGCGAATCAACTTCACTTTCATAAGACACTCTGAGCTAAGCGCAATAAGTGATGCTAAACACTTCCTTAAGCAAGCTCAATCTTTTTTTGGTGCTAATCGGTTTACGATGAGTCTTCTTTCCCATATGGGAAAAATACAGCTAGTGTTTCACTTACAGTTGATCGAAAGTTACCAGGATGCTAGGAAGCGGAAACTACGGGGACCACTATTCTCGTTTCCTGTGTCGTTGGCAGTTTCGTCCGAGTGTAAAGTGGTATAGTGATGATGTGGGAAGATATGGTATAGTAAAGATGTATGTGTGTTCCTAAAAGTCCAGCTACACACCATGTCCTTTTACCATATTTGGTCGGATAGGGGACCTGGGGTACGTGATTCTCTGTCCAAATAAAGTCTACCTCGTATTATATTGTGTTTTTCAAATCCAGGTAATGTCCCAACTCAACGGTAATCGCCAGTGTCTGCTCGAAGGCCGACTGCCACTGTCCGATGATCCAAAATGATTTACTGATACAGTTGGACAAATAGTGTAGTAATACAGCAGGGCAGAACAAAATAGTCTGTCGTGTTTTTACAACTGTCTGCCACTGATATGGTTCTCCTAGGGCAAATCACTTACCTCAATAATGTATTCTTACACCTGCTCGAGGTGTTTGGTGAACGGATCCACACCAATATAAAAAACGCTTGGGTTGCTCTTCTACCGTCTTCACGAACACTTTTCAAGTGTCCGCAGTCGTTTTAGACGCCCTTACTTTTAAGACTCTCAGAAAACAGGGGGCACATGATCTTTCGTAGTTCCAGAATCATCCGAGATCAACACCATCCGACGACATCAGTACGCGTGAACTGTGGTTAGGATGAAGGAGAGCACAGATTTCCTGAATTTCTAGGTTTGATCACCTTGTTTGAACAACAAGGTTTTACTGACTTTTGATGTTTCAGACAAAAATACTTCAATACATTCTGAGGTAAATGTGGACCTGTTTTTAAAACAAAAAGAAGTCCTGAGCCTGTGCCGTGGTGAGATCTTTTTATGACCACGCTTCAACGTGATCGACTGAATGAAGCGATTGGGCACACAAATTTTATCGGGTAATACGATGATGACATTTTTATGTCCGAAACACTCCCTTCACTAATTGCTATCCTTGTAAATAAAACTGACCAAATCGTTCCCCTGACATTTAGTACATTTCTGAAAGTAAAGCAGGCAAGCTTTGATGGAAACCCTGCAACCACGCTCATCGGATACACCCCAGGGAGGGGTAAACCTGTTTTTGGCTATGGAAGAGAATCCAGCAACCTAGTGAGTAGTGTTTTCTGCAATAAAACAGAGAGTTATCAAGAAATACACTCATTTGAAAATGAATTTGGTTTTCACGAGAGATTCAACTGAATCTCTTGTTTACGATATTCTACAACTGAATGTGTTGCACACAGGCCGCTTCATGTTTCAGTTGGCACGATATTCGAGATATCGTAGTATATTTTCATAAAGGAAGCTACTCACAAGGTTGCTGCAAGCTCTTCGACAGTCCACGACCGGTTTCGCCCTTCCGCTTGGGGCTCATCAGGTAGGCGCAGTCCCAGAGTTTCCTTCAATTTTGTGTTCTACTTGAACCCAAATTGGACTGTTTTCGAGAAATACAATTATTTGCAAATCAATTTGGTTTTCACGAGAGACTCAACTGAATCTCTCGTTTATGATATTTCACAGCAGCCTTGTGAATTGTTTCCTTTATGAAGAGAGTCATCACTTCTTGTGGGTTAGTCTAGTCAGGTTACAAAGTGGTGCATTACGGATAGTTGTATACAGCACTCAAACGTAGATAAGGTGACCCACGAACTCCAATAAATTTGTTCAACGGAGAGACTAACAAAAGTATTGTTGGACGCACCGATCATGGCTTAACACAAAAACTTCTGCATGTCCCCCGGAGAAACCGGTCCACACACAAATTATGACTGCATAATTTTGCTTTCTAAAGATAAACATAATTGTGTAGGACTCAGCAATTTGACGAGGGAATCTGTGAGTACCAATTCTTCTAGAATCACACTGAACCAATTAGAGGAATCGCGTTGCACATCGGTCACGGTGATATCATGATCAATACGAGTGAATCATCTCAAATCATTTGGAGGACACCGCGTGGACTGCATCCGTCTGTGTAAGGTCGCGTGATTTGACACTAAGTCAGCGTCGGTCACGTGACGCACTACTGGACCGCACCACGCATCCAATAGACTTTTTTTACCATTCTCTCTTCGATTAAGCTAGACCATTTATCCACCAACTGGACGTCTCTGCTGCCCGTTGGTTTTACTCACCTACCCGGTGTTAACTGTTTTTTATTAAAAGCTCACGCATCAACGAGATCCCGAAAACCTGCTTGTTCCAACTTTTGTTCTATGGAGTTATCATCTAAAACCTTAGCAGTAAAAAGCAACAGACCAACCTGACCAGCAGCCAGGTTCCTTTTGTTATGGAAACCTGAGTTCGTTTGGGTCATCACTCCTTGCAAAAGGTCGAATATACGAGCAAATAACAGTTTTTCAGTGTGGGGTGATGGTGACTCACTGAGGGTCACGGAAACCACATTTTTTCCAGAGAATTCGAACTGAATCTTGTAGATGTTATCATTAAAGTGGAATCATTTTGTATATTCTTCATTCTGGAGTCCATATTTCCGAAAAACCATGCGTTAATGCAATCTGGATGAAAGCGAGTAACCAGTGTGAGAGTGTATGCGTGTGGAAGTTGAACGAATTTTTAACTCATGGCCTCATCCATTTGGTAATCAGGGCCGATGATGAACAGGTAGACGAACAATGCGAATGGAAAATTTGCTGTTCAGAAAATTCAAATTAGATCGAGTTTCAAGCGTGGAATTACTCTACTGAATCTTGTGCTCCAGTTGTATTTAGTGTGCACGTAAGCATGAAGCGCACTCGAATGAATACGTTACCCAGGCGGCGAACAAGAACGTTGACAACAACCGTCGATTTTACACGTCACGAATATCCACGCACAATTCAGCATTACGTCAGTCAAATAGAAAAAAACCAATTAGGAGAGTCGGACAATTAATTGCGTCTGTTAAAATGTTTTTGGTACCAGGTGACGCAATATTTCACACGAAATAGTTTTTGTTCCCATGGTGACGCGTGTATCATCTCTTGTGTGGCTAGACTGGAAGACCGTAGAGGTTTACCAGTGAGCTCACGGAGAACGCACAAGGTGCTATCCAATGTTTCACAATCGCTTTTGTTGTTGCTTTTTCCCCGTTAGCACTGCTTCGCAATTTACTACAGCAAAGAAGGTGTTCGACAATACGACCTGAGAGCCGACACGGAAGAAGAGTGCCGGCTGTGGGTCGATGCAATCAACAACGCTAGGTTAGTTTTTTCTGCTCTTCGGTCCTGTTATTTCAGCTCGGTAACTGATGTTTTTTGAAGACTAATCAATTTAAATTGAACTAAAGCTGTTGAAGATTTGCTACCTAACAGCCATAATTCAGACGGAGCCATGTGAAAGTTTGAAAGATGATGGCTCAGAGTACCTGGGGAGTTTATCTGGGGAGCTCTTGGCTCAGAATTCAAGACCCAGTTTTGCAGTACTTTTTTCCAACACCATATGCACTAGTTAACAGTCAAATCCAAGAATGCAGATGGTCTGTTGTACGCTAATTTTGAAGAGTTTCCCATCAGTAAATGACCTCATCAGCAAATGACCTTCCCATCAGTAAAATGACCTTTTCAAGGCCATTGTTTCAACTTGAATGACGACTTTTCTATCGTGCACCGCGGGTTGTGGATACTCACAGCCTTTCGCACTCAAACTTATGTGTCAACATACGGTTTGCCGACTTTCTATAGAGGAAAATGTTGGTAGCTCAGGTTTGCCGGCTTTTTGAGCAACGATCACGTGTCCACTCGTCATCGAACGATGGATCGATATTTAGGACAGGGTCGATAAATTGGTAATATTGTTAAATCCGGTGGAATTTTGAGGGCGAAGACCGATCACACTTTGTGTCATCAAAACAGCAGTTATTGACATGACGTGTGTTATTGGGAACTCGTCAACAGTATTGTTTTTTGGGTTTGTGTCTCGCGCAAACCTGTTATTATGCTTCTGACTTAGAAGCGAAGGTGTTTTATTAGCAGTTAACATGTTCCAAAAGGAAATTTCATCTTTATTGGGACTCAGGACTTTAGCACGTAGGGGTCAGTCTGGTAACCTATGGCCAAGGATGCTTCCCTAAGTAATTCCAGATCGTGAGGCCAGTGAATTCGATCTTAGGTGTAGTTCTTGTTTTTGTGTAACTTATATATGAAGTCAACTGGTCATCACTGAATAGTTAAATGTTTGAGCTTCCCGGGGTTTCACTATCTGTTGATTAATAACACTCCGTCACCTGACAGTAATCCCCGTTCTTCCGCAATGCCCATTGACCTCTTTGATAACTCCATTCCCAAGCTTCAGTCCAAAGCTGTCTTATTGTTTCGCACCAAACAGTTTTGGCAAAATGCTCGAGCAGAAACAAGAAGCCGAGCAGAAACAACTCCATCTGCTGCAGATTTTGGAGACGGAACGTCGGGCGAAGTGGCACTACGTGAAACAGATAGAGGACCTTACCGCTGAGGTGAAGAAACTCAAATCAGAGGTGAGTTCAGGTTTGCCCCAATGGCTTGTGTATGACAGTTTTGCGGACAACATGACCACATGTCATGGTGAGCTTGAAATGACTCAGCTGTTAACGCGCATATCCATCGATCAAAAGGTCATAGTTTTAACCTAACTCTGGTCTTTCGACTCCACCTTTCTATACTTGCACAACCCTAGCTCAACCCTCGTGCTTCCTACGTGCTAAATGAGGGTAGATCATTTAACAAGTGGAATTTCAAGTCTGTGATTCTCAATGGCTGACAGTATTTCATCTGAATAGAATGACCTTAAGATCCTAAATTTGCTTTGCTGATCGTTAATCACGTTTTTGAAGGTAGACGTATGGCCAAGACATGCCTCTTGGCATTACAAGACATAATCGGATCGGTGATTTTCCGCGTAGCGAAGCGACCAGTATTTTACAAAAGCAAATTTCCGCAATCTGAGCGCGTGTCTTCCGTCTCAGGATTGTCCGACCTACGTGGGATTGGGTTACTTGCCTTTGTCAATTGGTTGAAACTCCACAAATAACCGTGACAATACCCTGCCCATCGTGGATTCTCCCCTTCATACAACATCATTCGATGGTTCGGTCAGGACCAAATGACCAGTGAGAGACCTGGCGAAGAAGGATCGGTATGGTTTACAGTATGTCAAGTGTTCGGATCTGATATGGAATAAAGCATGGCCACTTGTGGCGCCGACACCTTGCTTGTTCGACTTTTTTGTTGCTACATTCCGTCAGTCTGTTTATCAGACAGTGGCTCGTACCTCGGGTCTCTGGTTCACCAGCTGGGTTACGCTGATGCGGCACTCATCCGACGAGTACTGTATATCAGGTTTGAGTACCACAATCAGTGTTTTCATACTCGAGTGAAATTCTTCTCCAGGTGCGTTTTCACTACGTTTCCGACCAGCAACACTAGTAGCAGAGTTTCCCCTGTTTCACAATACTGACAAAAACTCAGCTGGATTGGTTCGTTTTGACTGACTAAATTAGTTTGGCCAACCTCGTGACACGTTTCGATTCATATCGAGTTCAAATGGAAACAAGCGCGCCACTCTAAGGCATTCGAGCGAATCACCAGAATCAGATCGAACGACATGTGGTTTCTGACGATGCGTCCAAAACGAGAAGGTCATCACTGAATAGTTAAATGTTTGAGCTTCCCGGGGTTTCACTATCTGTTGATTAATAACACTCCGTCACCTGACAGTAATCCCCGTTCTTCCGCAATGCCCATTGACCTCTTTGATAACTCCATTCCCAAGCTTCAGTCCAAAGCTGTCTTATTGTTTCGCACCAAACAGTTTTGGCAAAATGCTCGAGCAGAAACAAGAAGCCGAGCAGAAACAACTCCATCTGCTGCAGATTTTGGAGACGGAACGTCGGGCGAAGTGGCACTACGTGAAACAGATAGAGGACCTTACCGCTGAGGTGAAGAAACTCAAATCAGAGGTGAGTTCAGGTTTGCCCCAATGGCTTGTGTATGACAGTTTTGCGGACAACATGACCACATGTCATGGTGAGCTTGAAATGACTCAGCTGTTAACGCGCATATCCATCGATCAAAAGGTCATAGTTTTAACCTAACTCTGGTCTTTCGACTCCACCTTTCTATACTTGCACAACCCTAGCTCAACCCTCGTGCTTCCTACGTGCTAAATGAGGGTAGATCATTTAACAAGTGGAATTTCAAGTCTGTGATTCTCAATGGCTGACAGTATTTCATCTGAATAGAATGACCTTAAGATCCTAAATTTGCTTTGCTGATCGTTAATCACGTTTTTGAAGGTAGACGTATGGCCAAGACATGCCTCTTGGCATTACAAGACATAATCGGATCGGTGATTTTCCGCGTAGCGAAGCGACCAGTATTTTACAAAAGCAAATTTCCGCAATCTGAGCGCGTGTCTTCCGTCTCAGGATTGTCCGACCTACGTGGGATTGGGTTACTTGCCTTTGTCAATTGGTTGAAACTCCACAAATAACCGTGACAATACCCTGCCCATCGTGGATTCTCCCCTTCATACAACATCATTCGATGGTTCGGTCAGGACCAAATGACCAGTGAGAGACCTGGCGAAGAAGGATCGGTATGGTTTACAGTATGTCAAGTGTTCGGATCTGATATGGAATAAAGCATGGCCACTTGTGGCGCCGACACCTTGCTTGTTCGACTTTTTTGTTGCTACATTCCGTCAGTCTGTTTATCAGACAGTGGCTCGTACCTCGGGTCTCTGGTTCACCAGCTGGGTTACGCTGATGCGGCACTCATCCGACGAGTACTGTATATCAGGTTTGAGTACCACAATCAGTGTTTTCATACTCGAGTGAAATTCTTCTCCAGGTGCGTTTTCACTACGTTTCCGACCAGTAACACTAGTAGGGAGTTTCCCCTGTTTCACAATACTGACAAAAACTCAGCTGGATTGGTTCGTTTTGACTGACTAAATTAGTTTGGCCAACCTCGTGACACGTTTCGATTCATATCGAGTTCAAATGGAAACAAGCGCGCCACTCTAAGGCATTCGAGCGAATCACCAGAATCAAATCGAACGACATGTGGTTTCTGACGATGCGTCCAAAACGAGAACACAGATATCCTCATCGGAAAGTAGGAAGTTTATACTTACCAGAAAGTGGGGGGTGTAATAGCTCCGACGAAACACCCCACGCAACAGGTTCTCGAGAGGATCTCGTAAATCGAATCTGTGGACGAAAAAGAGTATTAATGGAAATTTCCCAAGGGAGAAGAGATTAATGGAGCATGACCAAAGCAAAGCGCGTTTCCTGTGCTGCACATGGTAAATGGGGTGAACTAAAAGTATCTGGTGGAAACGTTTGCTGTAACGTGTCAAATGGGGAAGTTTGTAATGTAAAACGGACTGAAGACTGAAATTAGCACACCCTTATCGCTGCAGCAGCCTCGAATGACGGATTCAGTTGAAATTCTGACAAGTACATAGGTAATCATTTTTTGGTTTGACATACGAGTAATTTTGTATCAAAATTAACTCGAAAGCTTGGATTTAAAATTCGAACGCAACTTTTTGTCAGAGTTGCTGCGATGAGAACGTGCATCTCACTAGCTGGCTAAGGATGAGCACATAGGCTTGCTTGCACGTTCATGCTCGTGATCGTTAACCCGGATGAGGTAGGGAGCAAATTGCGCACGAGCTAATCGAGTGCGCAATGTCACAGTGGTGGCTGAAAGGGATGACACTCGGTATTCGAGTTCTCTTTGATGGTTTAGTGGCATCAAAAATGGCGTACGCACACACAGTGTACTCCAACTTGGTGGATCCACTGAATACGGGGCCATGAAGTGATAAAAACGAATAAATTAGCAGGCGGTATTTGGCATCTTACGTACCATGCAACTAACGAACAATGTTTATGATTGACTGAGAACATTCCATCATCGACAAATGATGAACGCGAAGCCAATCTATCGCGAAAAGCCCTGAAACACCGTAAAGCTGTTCAATATTTAGTGAGACTCACCATCAATGCGCGATCCGCGAAACTCCCATAGGAGGGATCAGTCGAGCTGACAC